CCGGGTCCCCTTTCCGGGCGCTCCCCCGCTGGGTTTGCTGGCACGACCCGGCTGCTGCGCCTCCTGACAGCCTCCAAAGAGCCCCCACAATCACACCACGGGGAATGAGGAACAAGCACTCCATTGCAAAGACACATTTTTGCGCTCACAGCCGAAGCCGACAGCTTTCCACCGAGTTAGCGCCCTGGGAGATGCTCGGCGCTGCCAAAGGTGCGTGGTGCCAGCTGGGCGCTGGGCAAGATGCAGACCCCCCGGCTCCGGCTCCCTGTCCCTGGCTGCAGCCCAGCCTCGGGGACGGTGGCGCGTGGCCGCGATAGCAGAGCACTAATCCGCTTTCCGGGCAGAGCAGAGTCCCTGTGGCTCTCGCTGGCCAAGAGCCGCCCCGCTGGGAGCTGCTGCGGAGCCCGGAGCCAGCAGCAGTCGCTGCTGATGGTGATCAGAGCCCAGAGAAGAAGGGGAGTAAATGTGTGTCCAGCCTGAGAGGTTGGTGGCAGTAAATTACCAGCTGTTGGTCACTAATTACCTTCTACCTGCACATTCACCGTGCAACTGCCTCCGATCTCCCTGCGCTTCCGACGCCTGCGTTCTGGCTCCGGCTCTCTGGCCCCATTTCTACTCCCATCTCCAAAGATTTCCTCTTCCTGCAGCTTTTAATGACTTGACATCCCTTCTTCTTGTAAAGCCAATATTTCTCCTCTGAGCCAAGAACCAGCTGGAGATGTTTGCTTTTAGCAGGGAAGAAAAATAACAACCAACCCCCAGCAACCCTCAGGACTGTTTCCCATTATCCTTCCCCCGGGCATTCGAGGAGAGGTGCTAAATAAATGAAGTAATGCAATATTAAGCCTCCCTCTGTCATAAGCAGTATCCACTCTCTCCTGATAAATTGCTCGCAGTCAGAAGCTGGCTCGCTGCTAAAAGGACTTTTCGAGCCCAGGGCTGGCAGCAGCGGCGCCGCTCGGTGCCGGTAATTCCATCAGCTCCTGCCGTGGGCTCCGGGGTCCCCTCCGTGCTGCGGACGGGGAAAGCTTCTGGGTCCTTCTAAACCCACATTTTTCCTAAACCCACGTTGCATCTTCCATGGTTCCAGGTGCCCGACGGCGCTAGTGCCGCCTCCGCAGAAGGAGCCGCTCCAGGAGATTTTATTTTGCAGCAGAGCAGGGGCACAGCACGGGCACTGTCATCCCCCAATTAGCACCGACTTGATGAACCGAGCCCCCAGGGTTCAGGGAAAGCTGGACCAGAGGGTCAGCAGGATTTCCTGCAAAGAGAGACATAAAAAAGTTAATTTTTGGACAAGTTTATGGATATTTGGCACTGAGATTGCGGCTTTTTTTTTTTTTTTTTCCAGGAAGAGGTATTTTCACACACCGAAGGGGTTTGGAGGAATGACCCCGCACCCCTCGCTGCCCGTGCGGACCGAGGGCGGCTGCGCTGGCACGCGGCCCCGCAGGTCCCTGCGATGGAAACTGTGACCAAAGCCATCCGCTAGTGCAGCACCACAGCTCTGCTCTCCCGCTGCAGCATCACCTCCTGCCCTTCAGCGCTGCAAACCCCGGAGGAAGTTCAAGAGCAGCAGCGGCAGAGACACGTTTGCAAAATCCCCTCCAGCCCTGATCGCTGACCCGTGGTGAGCTCCAAACGCCCGCCCCGGGTCCCAGCGAGGCTGGCGGCCAGGCTTGCAGCGAACACCACCCTTGCCCGGCGTTTTTTCTGGTTCATCTCCTCTTGGCTTCAACGGGGACGGATCTCACCGGGGTCTAGCAGTCTGTCGTTGCCGTCACAGACACGTCAGAGCGGAGAGGAGCAGCGCTCAGCCAACACCCCTCCGTTCCCACCCCGTCCTCTCTCCATCCCCGAGCTAAAATGCATTTGTGCCTCTCCACCGGAACGGTTATTTCTTCTTGCTTCAGAGCACGGAAAGCCCACAGCTCCCGGCACCCTGGGGCTGGCTATAAAAAACCCTAACACAGCGCTCAGGTGTTGAGAGGAAATGTTGCTCTCTTTGTTTGTACTTTAAAAGAAGAATGATCCCAGTAACGACAGCACTAGGGCTCTCGCTCAAGCTCGGCACGAATTTACAAACTCGCTCGGAGCTGCAAGGAGAGGAGGGAACATGGCTGCTGTGCATCCCTCTGTGCATCCCGCGTGCCCGCAGCCGGTCCCGTCAGCGTTTCCTGGAGGCAGCACCATGGACCGG